GCTTTTGAGTCAACCACTTTCTTTCCCTTATCCTCTCGAGTTGGAGTTCTCTGATGCTGTTGAACAGGAGCCTGCTACATCTGCAGCCGATATGGACACTGTTCCTGGGGATGCAGCCCCTGGGTCTGACAAATTCCATAGATTGGGCTGTACCCCACTGGTTTTTTAGGGTTTGGACAGTTGGGTGCGATGTGACCTGCCTCCCAACACCTAAAGCACATGATTGGAGCTCTTGGCCTTCTCGGCTGCATGCCTGATTGCAAAGCAAAACCACCCTGTTGAGGCATTGTTCCCGTCTGTTGAGGCTGCATGCCATAAACCGGATAGGATTCCATAACCTGTGCAAGCACTGGTTGAGCGTAATAACTTGGCACCACTAGATTGAACAGAGCTTGTAGAGTCTGCTGGATCGGAGAAGGCTGCATCAGCTAAGCACCCCCCGACATCATTCTCTGCCTTTGGAAGCAATTTTCCACCGTATGATTCGTGCGGCGACAGAAACTACACCGAGGTCAAGAAGACTGGCTTGTACACTCGTTGGGGTAATGCCCATACCTTGCACTTCACACACCAAATATCCGGTCGATCCACCATTGGCTTGGCTGTACTTGCCCCGCTGCAGAGAAAATTCACCTGCAGTTCTGCCATCTTTCGGGTAAGAGATTCAACCACATCCTCCTTTACTTTTGCCAATTGGGCCTCGATATTTATTCCGCTCGCTCTAGGTGCAGGCATCACCGGAGCTGCTGGTACTGCTGGAATCTCCACTGGAATCAGTGATTGAGCAGTTGGAGTTGAACTGGATGCCATGCTTGGAAACATCACCACTGGAATTTGTCATGCTGCTGCTCCCAGTCGCGCCTGCTCCCAAGTAGCAGCATGTTCCACTGCCTTCATCAACGTTGTCGGCTTATGAATCTTGGTACAATCTGGAGCTGCCAGAGGACGAATTTGGTGTTTGAGAGGTTGGTGTGTGGTAGAAGTTATCATCTCGAGTTGGAGCCTAGAATATTCGGTCTGCAGATATTCTGGAGGAATAAGGCAGTTACAAGGAAGAAGATTTGGAGGAGAGTGGAAGGGTTGTGATGGCGAAATAGAGAGTGAGAAGGGATCCAGTCGCAGACAGGGTGACATGGAATTCGCGTGTCAGGCGAGCAGTCCAGCAACTCAATATAAATCAGGAGTAGGCAGTGGTTACTACCTGTCCGACATGCGGCCAAATTTGGTACCGTGCCATGCGAGAGATACTGGAGGAGCTCTTGAATCCAGAGATTACTGAGCCTACATCGACCTGATGTATTCTTTTCTTTGATGAATAAAGGAGAGGTTGCAGTTTTCTCTTGCTTGGGGGTTTCTAGGACTACAAATTTGGTGCGTTAGTCGGGAGCTCTAGACACAGTGGAGAGAAGCCGTGGACAACCCAGAGTATCCCTGTGGCTGGCGAGCCGAATCCAGAGTACTTTAGATTTTCTAGGGAAACAATGGAAAGACAAAAACAGGAAAGAAGTGCGAGATTTCAGAGGAGAAACCAAGAACCGGGAGGGACCAGTGCTCCACAGAACAGTCCGGACCAGTCACCAGAGCCAGGTTTGAGACCTGGATTTAATGAGGAAGAGTGGGGAGAGTTTCAGGAGTCTCCACCCCCTGCTCCTTCTGTTTCACCAGTAGGAAGTTCTTCATCTTCGAGTCTTGGAAATTCTGGTTCTGGGGGAGGAGTACTTGCACCTGTTTCAATATCACAACCTGGAGGAAGTAACATGGCACAACCTATGGGAAGGGAGAAGTATCCCAAGTTTTTGAACTTGAATGATCCTGATGGTCATGTGACTGCGTTCGAGGTGGTGAGCACGGCAAATCAGGAGGCCACGGATGCACTGAGGCTTCGTTGGTTCCCCACCACTTTGACAGGGTTGGCAATCAAGTGGTACGCAAGTATGGCAATGCCAGCAAATTACAATACGTGGGCGCTGCTAAAAGCGGCATTCTTGGAACAGTTCCGGCTTTATGGGTTCAGTCAGAAAATCAGCGATGAGCTTAACTCCATTCGACTATTACCTTGGGAGACGCTGCAGGATTATATGAGAAGGTATCAAGCTCTGTTGCAGAGGAAACATCCTACTCCGTCAGCAGAAGAGCAAGTTTGATGTTACCTTAATGGTCTGCCGTATGAAATCAACTTGGAGGAATCTTGTCCAAGAAAGCTTGGGAGTGTAAAATCCCATGGAATATGCCTTTGAAAACTTATGGAGGGGAAATCATTGATCCTAGTCAGTTTGAACATTGAGCTAGAAGCTGATGGGGCATATATATCCTCATTTATAAGTCTTGTGAGTTCCATGGCATCTCAAATTCTTCCCAAATCAAATTACCTAATGACTCTCTAGCCATTGCTCTCTATAAGCTTCTGATTTCTCACTCTCCTTCTATATTGAATAATTGAACCCAAAACCCCAAATTCCTGCTCCTCTCCACTTGATGGATGATTTATTATTGTAATTTGCCCTTCAATGTTTGAGAATCCACCATTAACACCATATTTTAAATCAAATGACTAATTTCATTCATCTTGACCTTCAAGAATCTCAAATTGCATGTCAAAAGCTCCCTTGCCTAATCTTTCTTACCCAAAAGATGATAGAGATCCTCATTCTTGACCAATGGATGGTTGCCCTCTACCAAATAATGCATATTCCTCTTGGGGCATTCAAAATTCCCCCTTTTGTTGAAACATTAGTGCCACTTTATTGCCAAAAGCCTTGAATAACTTCTTCCTTCTTCACCAAGTTTACTTGCCACCTCTTGAAGCGCCACTTCAAGATTCCCCAAGTCTTGCCTCTAGAACACATTGAACACACTCCCTTTCATCTATGTCAGCCCAAATCCATCTTTCTTGGATCTAAGAGCTTTCTCCAACATATAGGGATGAGTTCCCACCCACCATTTTACCACCTTTTAATGAATAAATTAGATTGCAAACTTCACTTCTCCAATATAAAGGTGGGGTGAATAGTCCAAGTTAGGACTGATCCATGTGGTGGCAGTAGAAGGGTACGATGTGGTAACTAGCTATTGCTTCTTCATCAATTTCCCACCTTTAGCTACCTTAGATGCACCCAGCTTTGATCCAGCCCAATCAGGGCCTTCCTCCAATGGAGCTCCTAGTGCCATGGTATGCCTCACATTGCAGCTGATGCCAATTCTTGGTCACTTGAGCAACACCAATTCCTCCAATCACTCTTCTCTTGAACTCCACTAACTTCTTTCTCTCCCTAGGTAATGCTTGACACTTCTCAGATCATTGTGTTTCCATAACTGACTACAAGTCCCTTGCAAATTCCTACAGACATGCCAGGTAAGCCTTTCTCTTTGTTAGACTGATGGGATAACTCCATAACACTTTATCTGTACCTAAACAAGCTTGGGAACACCATGTTTCCATGACTGAATGCAAATTACAAAGATTCCTCCCTTTTTTGAAGGAACTCAAACAAGCTTAGTAACACTATGTTAATCATAAACCAGACAAAGATCCTCACTTCTCTCTAGAAAGAAACTCTTTTTACTAGATCTAAGAGCCAATGCTTCTAAGGGGTGAGGCCTGGCCTGCCCTTGGACTTCAAACTCCTACCTTTTATACTCCAAAACCTAAGATTCCTCTACACTACTTGATGTCTTGCTCACCACCAGAATCTTTAATTTTGCTTATCATCTGCCATATCACCTTGCCACCTGAATTAAACCCAACTTTAATTGTTCTCTCAACTTTCTCTGGCACAAGCTCGTGCGTTTCCTCTTTGCTTTCAGTCAAGAGCATTGCAATTTCAAGGGAAGCTGGGCAAGAGCATCTTCTCCTCCAAACCATCACCAATAGCTGCCAACCTTTGCGTTGTCCAGCCATCTGGATGGTTGCTCGTTTCAAAACGAGCAACCAGCACTTCCTCCAAGACTCCCACGCTTCTCAGATCACACAGGATCATCACACGCAGTGTCTCGTGAAACCCCCATATCACTTCCTCCACTGGCGGCATTACAGAGTCACTGATATTAAAAGAAGTGAAGCCACACAGTGCTGTGATGATTGGCATTGTTATTACACAGTTCTCACCACCTTCGGGCTGGACGCCAAAACTTTCTCCACTTCCACTGCTAGCTTTGCTGCAACCAGAATCTCTTCAGCAGACCTTTGGACTTGCTGGACTGCTCGTTCGCGCCTTGCAGCCGATCCTCCATCTCCTTCTCGAGCTCGCACCTCGGACAACCTGCCCTAGAGCTTCTCGGGCCCAAAGGATCGCCGCCGTAGCACCTCAAGAGCTCCATGCCTGCTGTCATGTCTCTGATAAGCGTGCCTCTCACGCTCCAGCTGACATTTGAAATACAGGAGCGGGTCGTCACACTCCAGCGCCTCATAAAGCTCTACAACATTTGGCGCAGGGACACGTCAAACTGTTTCAGGCTTGGTTTCCAGAAGAGGTTGACCTCCGGTGGCGTTTTCTCCACAAAGTTCACATCGTCGTGAAAGCTGGAGTTTCCAGAAAGTTGCTCTGGAGAAGCTTAACTGGAAGTGCTTTCGGTGAGGCCAAGGCAGCATGAGTAGTCCGAAACACAAGTTTCTTCCACCTGTTGCTGCTAGCAGCATGTACACTTCTAGCGGTACTCCTTTGTTGTTCTCGCTTGAGAACTGTCAGCTTGAGCAAGTCTCCAGCTCGAACGTCCGCTGTGAGAAATTGACAATCATCCCAGACCAACGAGGTCGGTAACTTCGTCCCCTTCTTTATCCCTGTAAATTCCAGACTTGCTCTGGATGACGAACACGGCTGCCTTTTGCCATAGCTGCACTACATCTTCGTGCGTCTCACACGACTGCGAGGACCCGTTGACGCGAGGATGCAGCGCAAATTCTTCCGCGCAAGATACTTACACTCATGCCGGCGCGTCTCGTGCTCGCAATGCGCCTGATTTCCTTAGTCTTCCATAAGCCCTAAATCAAGGGTAAAGTTTAAACTGGCATTCTATGGGATTTAGGGTTTCGCGAGGAGGAGAAGATCTTCGTGTAGCTCGGGAGCTGGCGCTGGCAGATCGATCCGTTCGGCATGAGTGTAAGTATCTTGTGCGGAAGAATTTCCGCTGCATTCTCGTGATCTAGCCTCTATTGCACTGTCGAGCGTGAAATTATTGGGGAGTTTCTAAGGATTTCGTTTTCTTTTTCGTTCTAGACTGAGCTAGAGCCACCAGGAGTGGTGCGTTATTTGGTGGGAGCCGTGATCATGATTGTTGGTGTGATCCTTCCATTGCTGTTCATGCTATTTCGAAATCGCCGTGTTCCAACCTCCACTCATTTAGGTGCGCTTCTTTCTTAGTTCGCTTGCAATGTATGCGTTTGTGTTTGTGGTTGAGAAAACCTGTGACTTCTTGATCCCTTTTTCTTGTTGTAAGCGGCTCTTAGTACTTTCTCTTGTAGGCTACTCTGCAAGGAGACTTTGATAAGCAAAAATTCTTTGTGGAGGTGGCCAAAGCAGTAAGTCACTTCCTTCCGCCTGTGTTTTTCCTGACCAAAGGTTCTGTATCCAGTTGAATGACCACAACATTGACGGGTTCGATGCCTTGGAAAGGTACTTCGCGCTCTCTTGTGGCTTCTGGGTTGGTTTTGATCGTTTGCCTGTTACAGCCACCTTCTCGAGCGTCTGCAAATTTCGTCGGACGAAGAACTAGCTCAGTTGAAAGAGGTTAAAACTTTTCCTTTGCGATTTTTTTTTCTTGTTTCGTTGTCCTCAACATTTTTTGCTTCTGCCTCAGGCGGTCGATGCTGTTTTCGAAAAGGTGCAAATGGCTCTTGAGAAAAATCTCTTGCGATGGGAGAAGTATTGCAAAACAAACTGCTTCTATGTACCAGAGATAGTAGAAACCGTTCAGGTCAGCTTGTTTTTCAAAACTGGTTGCTAAATAGATTCAAAGGTGGTTCATTCAGGCTGAAGAGAAGGAAGAAGAGACTCCACAACCAGATCCAGTCGATATTGCCAGAGAGGCTGAACTGGACAATGAATTGGATCTTCTTAGAAGTCGGATCCTCTCGGTAAAGTTCTCCACGGTTCCACTGTTATTACAAAGCTCACCATTGTTTTGCCAGGTGAGGAGAGAGACCTCTAAACTAAATCGGGAGCGCCAGACTCTGGAGACATGGCTGTCCCTGAAGCGCGCCAAAATTGATGCTGTGAGCGAAGCAGCCTCTTCGGTAGACAAGACGAAGCTGTCAATCATGCAAGGTATTCTCCTCTCTATTTCTACTGTGGCTTTTTTGGTTACAGTGCGAGTGTTCGTCGTAGCAGCGGAGATATCAGAAGCGGCTTCAAAGATGCACGAGCAAATGAAGAAGGCGGAGGACGAAACTTTTGGTAAGTTTATTGCTCTTGGCAGCACGTAACCAGGCTGCTCACTTACAGAAGCAAAAGAGATGGATACAAAGAGCAAAGCTGCGTTTGCAAAGCTTCTCGACGAGATCTTTTGACAATATCACGAGGTGTATACTAACATGCTTATAGCTAGTAAGTACTGGCAAGGAGAAACTCTTGTAGATCATCTTCTTGTTTGTTTGCTGCATTCACCTTTGCTTCCAGAGAAATAGAGCTCGCAAAATGTCCTCGTCAAATAGTTCTCTCGCGACGGAAGGAAGTATGATCTTCAAGCTTTTTTCTGAGGCGAAAGAGATGAATACAAAGAGAACAAAGCTGCGATCTTTTGACAATAACAAGCTAGATGGACAATGAACAGCAAAGTGTACACTAAGACTGCTTATAGCTCTAGTAAGTATTGGTAAGGAGAGACGCTGGTTCCTCTTTTGTTTCGTTACCTTCACCTTGACTTCCAGAGTCCAACCAGATCGACTACACTACGCAAAATCCTCTTCAACTCCGTCTCGCGGCACCTAAGTAGCTGTTTTCGTCGCGTGATGGATGGACAGAGATGGACCATCTTCGAGCTTTTGCACTCACGCACCGCAGGTACACACTCCATTCTCAAAGTGGTGGAACGTCGTCGCGTCTCTCACGGTGATCTGCTTCTTGATCACCTTGGAGATCACCTTCGTCGTCTTGTGGCAGTCGGCGCAGATGCTCAGGTTCTTGACGAACCACATCGGCGTACCAGGGTTGGTGGTGCTGATGTTGAACGCCACCGACATCTTCTCGGTGTGGAAGCACAGCAGCTGCGGCTTCACCTCGGGCACGCTCACCCGGCCACCCTTGTCACTGTCCGGCAAGCCCGACTGCGCTCGCAGCCGGTCCGCCTCCTCGGTGTTGCCTTTGTCGTTGTAGACGCGGATGATGAGCTCCCACGACATGGCGTCGCGCTTGGGCATGAGATCAAACACCTCCCTCGCGTCCTCGAGCTCGCCGTGCTTGGCGTAGGCCCGGAGCATCAGGTTCCAGCACCCGATATCCGGCTGGTTGACGGAGTTGAAGACGCGGCGGGCCTCGAGCAGCGCGCCACACTTCTCGTACATGTCGATCAGAAGGTTGGCGAGGAAGCGGTTCCTCCGGAACTCACTGTTGTAGACTCGGGCGTGGACTCTCTGAGCCTCCTTGAAGTCCTTGTTATCGCCCGCGTTCTTGATGTAGCGAGTGAAGTCGTCCTTGCTCGGGAACTCGGGCTCGTCGCAGCACTCCGGGTAGTCCCTCCCGGCCTCGATGTCCACGCTCCGGATGTAGTCGATGTTCTCCTTGGCGTAGCGCTTGAATCCAAACGAGAAGCCGCCGCCGCTGGTGGTGGAGGTCTCGGACGGCGCCTGGCGGGGCGGCGGCGGCGGGCGGGGCGTGTAGCTCGGGTTTGCCTTGCGCTCGTCGATCACCTCCTGCGCCAGCCGCCCCCATTCCGCTTTGACGGTGTTGACGAGCCAGTTGAGGTAGTCGTCCGAGAGCATCCCCAGCGTCTTGCCGTTGTGGACGCCCCAGGTGATCTTGACGTCCTTGGCGGCCCGCCGGGGCTTGGCCTCGGCAGCCTCCGCCGCCGACGCCATGATTCTCGTCGCGCCCCGCGGCGGCGCCGCTCTGGCCGCGCGGATTACGCTGCCGTAGAACGCTGGTGGCAATCGGCAGCAGCTTCCTGGGAGTGCAGCACTGGGCAATGCGCCGCCGCTGCTGCTCCAATCTACATTCCCGCTGTACCTGGGAGAGGAGAGCTGCTGCATCAGCGCCATGGCCGGATCGATCGCGCCCTCGCCAAAACCCCAAAACCCTGCCGCTTGGATAAGATATATTGGCTATGGCGGCGATTTAGGGTTCTTGGGGAGATATTTCCAAATGCGCGCCATCGCCACCGTCGGTTGCGATGAAATATCTACTAGCGCTTTAATCCGATGGATGGGATTCAAACCCAACACCGCGAATGAATCCACGCTAGGATCGAAGGAAGTGAGGGCACCGGAATGGGTTCTTCTTGGGGACTGTATACGAATGCATATGCCTTTAGTTATCTACCAAAGACTTTGTTAACAATGGCAATATTCAATTAAATTGAAAAGGATTTATATTGTTGCATCACAAGTTTTATTCTTAATATCTTAAAATTCTCTCCATATTTTCCTTATATTTATGAGACTGGTACATACATGCAGCACACGGATACAACCAAGATTTGCTATTTGTCTATATAATACAAGTCCTAGTATCCTAGTAATGTGTGCCACTATTCTTAGGGTGCTTCAACTGGTGGAGACACTAGGTAGCTTTTTGTTGGCTGATTTTTCACATATGTGGGCCTTAGAGCAGTTTTTAACCTTGATGTTTGCATAGCTGGCTCAAAACCAAGTGGGGATGCAATAGCTGTTGCAACACTTAGTTGGAAGTTAAGTGTCCCCACATACATGTAGTGGATACAACCCATGTTTGCATCATGGGTTGCATATAGGGGGATGCCACCATTTTGGTATGATAATCATGTATCATGAATGGATGGGATGACATGGCCAAACTTCAAGAGTTTATTTCTCATTTGCATGGTTTTTGACAAGCTTTTGGGTTCCATGCAAATGAAGTTGCCTTGATAGATAATATGTTGAAATTGTGGTGAGGCAAATTGATTTCAAGGCCTTGATTAGCTTGTGTGGATCTTATTATGTTCAAGCACCATCAAGCTAAGATTGTTCTATCATGTCTATAGTCCTATTAGAGCTTTTGTGAAAGGATATTGCCTTTAATGATGCCATTGTGATTAGAGGAAAGCCATATCTAACACTCTTATCAAGTATATTTCCCCTAGTTGTTTCAACAGTTGTTATGGATGTTGATCCCATCTCAACTATATCAACTTGAGATTTTGGTGCTATAGTGGTGTTGTGGTCATGGGCACAGAGAAGCCTGTAGACATGGATGTGCCACAATGTTATGATGCCAATATTGAAGACCTATTCCAGCAGAGTGAGGGAACTATCAGTAAGTAATTGTATCTCAAGATTATGATAGTGGTAAAATCTTTTCTGTTAATCATTTGGAAAACTAATGGATGTATCTAAAGTTACGAGGATTTATACACATCTTGCCTTTCTCTTCTAACATGCATAGATAGTAAAGTGTGTCTTGTTATTGTGAATAAAGAGAGGTGTATCATTTCTCATAAGGATTTAGCAATTTATATATGTTTTCTCTAGGGTTATTTATGACACTAATATGACAAGAAGTTCCATTTTTTACCTGATTGTTGTTTATAACATATATGCCTCTGATACTTGGGGAATATAAGCACACTTTTCCATTACAAGTGATGCCTAGTCGAGTTTATGATATCATTTTGGGTCTCAATTGGTTGTGTGTTATTAGAGTTTATTATGACTTTGAAAAGAACCCACTCACTATTCCAAGACATCCTTCCTTTGTTGTTATTAATTATATTCGCTAAAACTCAATGATTATTGTTGAGGATTTTCTTCTTTCACTTTTTAAGCCCTCTCTTGTAGAATGGGATGAAAATCTAGAGAAGTTTCTTACTCATCTTTGATCCCATTAATTAAACTATGTCTATTATACACATTTAGTATAATCTTGTGTTTATGAGTGCTCAGGATATAGGAATAAGTATATTAAGTGGGGTTTAAACCCCTACTTATATACAAGAAAGAATGGACCAAATTCAGTCCCAAATGGATGGTCCATATGCTATAGTATTATAATTAATGTATTACTTAGCTAGGGTAATACATATATATACATACATATATTTACAAACTTTACACCATCCTCCCCTATGGAAGATGAAAAGGTGATGATAATAAATCATATGGAACATCTTGAGCTTTTGTTAGATGATTATAAAATACCACAAGAATCTTAAACTCCCATAAAACCATCAACAAAGTTGTTGATAACCATGACTAAAATAAAATCTAAAGGCATGGCATAAACATTTGCTAACTATAGAACTTTGATGAACCAGTTGCAACTCCATATGTAATTTTTAAATGCTCAAACCAACCACACAATTATAACTTTAAGCCAGGGAAGTTGGATTCACTCTATTTGTCTTCCACATTCTCCTTATCCCCTCTTCAAAGGAAAAAAGTTTTTGAAGCACTAGCTTCATTTAAACTCGTTACACTCGTCCTCACTCTGCCATTTATATTCAACCTCACTCCACTATTGCATCTATTCGACCTCACTATGTCCGGGTTGGATGTTCCATTCGGACTTGTTATACTCATCCTCACTCCATAATCCATGTTTTTCATCCTCATTCCATTATCGTAAATGCTCGTCCTCACTTCATCATCGGGGCTGGACTCCCGTCCGTCCCCTCTACCCCCTCCTCCAAAGTAAAAAAAGTTTGAAGTGTCAGGGAAAAAAAATAGAAAACAAGCAAAATTGAGGAAAAAACAATTGTGGAAAAAGAAAAAGTGGATAAAGAAGCATGAAAAGAGGAATTTATAATAACTTGCAATGCAGAAATAGGGAAATTAAAAGAACATGTGCTTAAAGCTTGGAAAATAAAGGATTTCCTATCATAAAATATTTCAGTGATCACAATATAAGCAAGAGATTCACACCACTCAACCTTTTCAATACATAACTCAATACATGAAATGAGAAAATCAATAACAATATCCACACCCTCAAGGGAATATATAAACTCTTTAACAGAAACAATAAAGCAAAGGATCTTAGTGGCCTTCACAAGTGGGGATATGCATTTCATTTGAAACTCTGGCCAAAGTGACTCAACCCTTAGAACAGGAATACTCAATATCAAAATTGATCAAAGACTCTACCAATGAAACAAAAGTAAAATTTTCAACTTCATAGATATACTCAACATTTAAATTAGTATGAGGAGGACAAAAAACACTTAACTCAACATTGTACTGAGAATGAGAATTATGAGAGTCATAAATGATCGATGTGCCAAGAGAAGAAAACACTGCAAATGAAGAAGAAATACTAAGAACATGAGAAAGTGGCTTAGGCCAATAAATAAAAAAATGTTAGGAAAAAGCAAAAGGGAAAGAAAAAAGATCAGATGGCAAATTAAAATATTGACACCTACCTCACAAAATCTCCACTTCATCTCCAAAACTATCTCCATAATAATCAAATTCATCATCACACTCTAAAATCTACTCAAGCTCGTATACATTGTCTTCCCATAAACTTAATTCTTGAATCTCCAAGAATTAGACTGTATCATCCATAGCTCACCAAGCAATATCATGATCACACTTCATATCAACAAGAGATAGTAAAACACCGAGAATAGGATAAGTTGTGTAATCATGTCCCTCAAAAGCTGAAGATGGCAACATACCAAGGATGGGCGCAACACAAATATGATCACACCCCAAGAAGAAGATAATGCAATGAAGATTAGAAGAAAAAGCAGATTTATAGCTAAAATTCTAAATCTTGCGAAAAGCTAATACAAATCTAGATTTAGAAGAGAATGAAGAATTAAGAATAAAAAAGTATAATCTTGAAGACTAGAGCAAAGCATTGCCAAAAAACTTTGCCCTTTAGGGACAAATTGTAGTGCCTCTCAACTCCACCAATGTGAGTGCTCAAGATATAGGAATAGGTATATTAATTAAGGTTTAGACCTCTACTTATATACAAGAATGGATGGATTAAATTCAATCCCAAATGGATAGTTTATATACTATAGTATTATAATTAGTGTATTACTAAGCTAAGGTAATACATATATATACATACATGTATTTACAAACCTTACATGTCCAATTAAAGTAGTACTTTACTATAGATATTTTGACTTAGGAGTCATTTACAAATCATGTATTTATAGGTTGTTGAGCCATATCTTGTTCCCAAACCAAATGGGGCTAAGTGTTTTACAAACTGACAAATCATTTTTAGGGCTCTAGGGTATTGGCAAATACTTGTAGATCTTGTTGCTGTGGCAAAGACAATTTTTTAAGCTCCAAAAAGTTTGTATGAATTTACAATGATATTATTTGGATTGATAAAGGCACTTGTAACATTTCAATTGATGATGAATGAAATATTAGAAGGTTTTAAGAAATGAAAATCTCTCTAGCAAATCTTGTATGTCCATTTTGAATGGGTATGTGGTTTCTTAGGAACTTGTCAGCAAGCTTGTAATAATGACGTAGTGAAGGGTAAAGCATGATTGATTGAGCATTTGTTTATTTTCTTTTGTATATGTTTTGGAGTTCTAGCCTTGGTCTCCATACATGCACAACTTGCAACTTGCTATGTCAAAACTACTTGACCTCTTGTTAAGGAGTGCATATTGAAGAGTTTAGGTTGTATAAACCTTTCTAAATAATTTATTGATACATACAGATGCCACATGATAGCATCATTTATAATTCAAACAAATGCTTCAATGGCTTGAGAAACATTTAAACCAAGTGTTTGCATAGCAAATTTATATTATTTTTTAGATGAATATTTCAAAAGCTTATAAGTAAATACTTATTTTTCATTTAAATATATAAATTTTAGTAAATTTTGACCTGTTATTTCAAATGAATTTTTTATATGAATTTTAAGCAATTCTTATCAAAAGTCAATAAGTGTACTACACTATGAAGGCTACTATGGTGTTGTTACATTTGCTACTTTTTAAATTGTATATATTTTTCTTCTTCGAATTATGCTCTGGCATGATTCTAACCCTATTTTCTTGCGTTTTCTTTTGCATTATGTGCTAGGACATTGTGTAGACTTCCTTGCAAAATCACACACCAGTGGTGGAATTGGCACCTCCTAAGGCTGGCTTCGCTTAGGATCATTAGGCCACCCTTGATTGGAGTTCCATGTTCCATGTCTTTCTTCTTAAGGGAGCACAATTACCAGATTTTTTGCTTTGCCCAAGCACTATCCCTGAATTAAATTGTCATTTTACTTTGTACCGATTTGAAAGAGTAATCTGGTCTGATTTGAATGCTGGGGAGTATACTTCATGTATGGTACAGTTTCCTAAAGAAACAGGGACAACGAACTGACCATTTTTTCCCTGCCACATGAATTGAGGAAAAATATATACAAAATGACTCACCACCTTTCACGGACTGCTGCAGGCACCAAGCCAACAATGAAGAATACGAATTCTCTAGGAAGAGAGGATGTAAACTCACTGAATTTTGCAGTGTGAACCAGCAGTATGAGTTGGTGGCAATTGCAAGCCAGTACAGCTTCTGGGATGATAGCTTAATGGTGATTACTGCAATGTTGTGCAGCCAGAGTTTCTGCCCACTGAAAGAAAACCATTACTTGCGTGGCTCATGCAGGGATATGAAGGCGCATGAACTGTGAACCGGATCCTCTAGCCCAGGAAGTTGGAAGAGGCAGTTCCCGGGTAGGGCGAGCACATTCCCGCCCAGAACGGGCGAGCCGGGCGTTAGCCCGGCGAGCACGTTCTGGAGGGAGCGATGAAGGGAGCAAGCCCATGCCCGGGAACGGCCTTAATGGGTTGCGGCGAGACTGTTAACGGACACGTGGAAGAATGTTATTCAAGGATGAGAGGGTTCTCCAGAATTGGCGGCTGGTAGCCTAGTTCTCCAGAACTTGGCAGCTGGCAAGTGGGTTCTGGAGAACCTAACAGTTGTCAGCCACGTTTTTGCAAAGAACCTGACTCGATCCAACGGCTGCCAACGGTTGAATCAAGTTAATGGGTGAGCCACAGCCTGTTAAGGAGATATCTAGATCGCAAGAGCGTCTCACTTTACAGGTTTTCTGGATCAATCCATACTTCATCATATGGTAGAGTGGTAGAGAGAAAGTTCTCAAAGAGACTATAGTTGAAGCAATTCAAAAAAATTTGTGGTTCAAGGACCAATTATATAATCTATCTCTCTCTCTCTCTCTCTCTCTCTCTCTCTCTCTCTCTCTCTCTCTCTCTCTCTCTCTCTCTCTCTCTCTCTCTCTCTCTCTCTCTCTCTCTCTCTCTCTCTCCTAAACCAAACACAAAAAGTACCTAATTAAATTCTCAGAATCTAATCCATCCTAACGTTCGTCCAAGCAAAAAAGTGCAATGCACCTTCTAGAGATTGAAAGCTACGGATGCCTTCCTCTTTGACCGTAGTGCTGTTGCTCCTTGACACCTTGCTGATTCCGACCACCAAGCTCATGTCATCAAGATGGAGCCCACGGGCCAACGAACAATATCAAGATTTGCAGAGGGACAATCTAGTTTGAAGCAGTTTAAGGGGCAAAATAGATTTCTCATTTTCTAGGGCTAAATATCATGGCGGTGGCAATGCGGCTTCTTGTGCTCCTCGCGGCTATGGCGGCCACGGCGATCGGCAAATCCGTCAAGAGTAAGCATCCCTAGGTCGTAGATCCAGGCAATGTAGGTCGTGGCGAGGTTCCAGGATTGGGCGATTAACATTCGAGATGTTTTATTTCCAGCGTTGGGAGGGAGAATTCTTGCTAGATTCTTAAATCATAAGTTTCTCTCGATTGCCTGGTAGAGTCTCTGTGAATGTTGGATCGACGCATCGGGAAATCTACATTTCCTCGTTGGAGTTTCTCGCATAGAGTTTCTCGCTGGTCGACCGAGTTTACATTTTCCGTTTCTAAAGCCGGGTTTTCTAGATGTTTGTTCTTTCAATAACTCTCAGTTATCTAAGACAAGAATCCTGTGCTTCTTTGTTTTTTTTTCCAGATCCTGCTGATGCATTGGCCCGTGAGATCAATCGCAACCTCACCGCCGCCAATCTCCCAACTCTCTACAACAATCCGGGACTTGGCTGCGTGGCCTTGCAGTACATCCAGGCATACCAAGGCCAATGCAGCGACGTCGGTCCAAACGGCCAACGTCCACCAGAGGCCTCTTTCAAGACAACGCTCGCAGACAACTGCGGAGTGGATCCATCTTCGGTGGCCGACATCACTGGAACCATCCTCGCCTGCGAGACCGAGTACCGCGACGCTCGCTACGCCTTCTCCAGCCTTCTCTTCAAAGAGTCCAGCACGCTGGCGACGCTCCAGAGCTCAAACCACACTGAGTTTGGAGTCGGGATCAGCGGCTACGAGGGCGGCGCTCCATACTTTTGGTGCGTCCTCCTCAGCAATGGGACGCCAAAGTCGAGCTTCTCGTTCTCGGATTCCAAGGCCAAGTACCAAAAGACCGGATGCTTCAGCGGGACTGGGGAGGCTTGCAGCGGTGGAGCTGGAAGTTTCCGTCGGGTGGCCTCGCTGATCCCCGCTTCCATGTTCGTCGCGGTGATCGCCACCTTATTCTAGATCGCCTCCTCTGGTACTGTTCTTTTTTATATTCTTTCACCTCTTATCTGGAAGTTGAAACTTTCAACATGCAGAGCGTGCCAAGTGGAACGCATCGGCTCCGAGAATATTCCAGGGACTCGCTTAGCTGCTCGCTCCGCAAGCCCTATGCGTTTCTCTCGTTTGCTCTGATGGGTATTTGGCACTGTTTGGCAGGATGAGTTTGGATTGAGGAAAAGGTGCCAAGGAAGGCAGAGGCAGAGAAACAATGATCGGGCTGGTCGTCTCTCTGGTAACTTCCATTCTTGACAGCACAACACGGCCGTGGCGGAAGATCTTTTGGTTCTCGCTCCATCTCTACTTTACGGCATGGAGCATTTTCCTCACCCTTGTGGTGGGGATTATCACCTCTCCCTTTCGGTTTTTGAACGCCGCAAGGAGGGAGAAGCTAGTAAGTTCTCTCCGTTTCTTCCTCTCTTTCCGTGGCACTAATGTTCTTGGCTTGATCAGCTTGAGGCGCAGCTTCGAGAGCTACAGCAGCACTATGAGGAATTGGGCGAGAAGAAGGGCGACTTGGAGAGGAGGCTGGAAGTCACTGCAAGGGACCGGAAGCGTATCAAGGAGTCGCTTGATCAGGCTGTAGGCGAGTGGGAGAAATCCATAGACCGGCTCAAGCTGCTCAAGGCCCGGGTAAGAGGAAAAACTTATTTTTCCACAATCTAATTACGTGATTAACTGAATCAATGCGCAGGTCCAGGAACTAGAGTCTCAAAACGTGAAGCTGAGAGAGCTGGAGGAGGAGAGGAAGTCCAAAGCGAGGGCCAGGTTTTCTACAAAGGATCACCACCACCATCACCAGCAGCAGCAGCAACACACGCAGCATCAAAACCAGCAAAACTCTAGTAAGCCAAGTGGAGTTTTTGATGACAGCATGATCATGGAGGGGAGGGGTGTGGCGTTGGGATCCAGCATTTTCAGTGCCGTGCTTTCTTTGCTCGTGGGTTTCATTGCATGGGAGGCCGAGGACCCGTGTATGCCTCTGGTGGTTGCCTTGTTCATGGTGGTTGGCATGTCCCTCTCTAACGTCTTCCAATTCTTCTCCAAATTGCAATCCAGGTTCGGCTTTGATGCCGTCGCCTTGCTCAGCTTCAACTGGTTCATGCTAGGTACTCTAGCGTTCCCTGCATTTCCTTTCTTTGCGAAGTTCTTCTCACTCTTGTTAGGTCCCCTTGTCTTGTGGGTCGCGAGCTGGTTTGGCTATTAGGAGAGGAAGTCTCATTGTGAGTTTTTTCTCGTTTTTTTTTCTCTCGGGTTGTCATGCTCTTTTCTTCTCGTTTTCTCTCTCTCTCGAGTCGTCATGCTCTTCTCGTTTTTTTCTCTCGTTAAGTTGGTCTCCGTGTATGTGTATATGCCGTATAGTAATCGTTTCTGTAGGACTTGAAAGAGTGGTTTTTCTTTTTCGTCTTTGGTTTCCAAGGTTCTCGGAAGACTGTTCTTGTGAGTGTTTCCAAGGTTCTCGGATGCCTATACTAAGAGTTTCCAAGGTTCTCGGAAGATACTGTTCTTGCGAGTGAGGTGAACTTTGTAGAACTCTTTTACTCTTGTAATTTACAGGATTCTCACAGACCGGTGTCTCTCTCGCTCTTTCTCTTCTACTGCGCGAGCTGGGCCTCTTGGAAAGCATTCCAGATGGCCGTCATCTCCTCCGGGCTTAGAGCTCCGGCGGAAGTGAACGAGGCCGACAGCGGCGTGCACGGAGAGAGATACCTCCTTGTGTTGAAGTCGTCCATCGAGAAGGAAGATCCAACTGACGCAAACGGTGTCGATCGAAAAGAACCTGGCGTCGATGGCGGTGATCTCGTATCGTACACCAGCCTTGGCTTGCCGTCGCGACGACTATCCAGCACCTGCAGCAAAGCAGTGACAAAACTTGTGAGGAAGGTATAAGAAAACTGAGCTGAGCTTACTCTCTTCAGGTATGGCGTGCTTGATTTCTCTTCCTCGAAACTTTGCGTTCGACCAGCTGCTGGCTTTGCTTCTGTGCTTCCAGGCGGCGAGCAGAGCTTGAGGATTTCCATCCGTGCGTTAAGTTCGTCGCCCACCCTCGGCTTCTTCGTTGTGGACTCGGACATCGAGTTGCTGCTGCTGGTGCTCGGCCTCTTTTTGGATGATCCAGGACTACCGGATAAGCTCTCGGTCTTTGACGTATTGCCGCCACCGCCATTAGTCCCGGCTTGCGCCTGGGAGCACAGGAACTCCAGGAAACTTATGTCGGTACGACGTTCTCCTCGATTTTCCTGTTCTTCTGAAGATGACGATGATGCTAAGCGCTGGCGAGCTCGGATGCAGGAAAACATATCCCCGGCATCGACTGGCATCACCACCACCTTACTGGCGCCCGGGTTTTCCTTGAGATAGGCCTCGGAGCAAGAACTCGAGTGGGAAGTTACTTCCGAGATGCGGCAAAACTCGTCCAGAAACTCAAGAGACACGACGTCCTGCTTGTTGCTGCTGTTGCTACTTCTGCAAGAACTCTCCCTTGAAGGTCCTCTCTTTTTGTTGTGATGACCATACGCGACTCTCATCTTTGCGCTGTTCGCGAGGCTGGATTCGCTTCCAGTTTCTTCGATGATCTGTATAGCACGGAGTGAGAACCTGGTGGAGAGAGCAAAACAGCGAAAAGAACTCATCTACGTACCTCTGACGATGATCCAGAGATAGAGACGTACGCAGTGATCTTGGGAATGACTGGAGTGCCATTTCCAGCGGCGCCAGCGATCATCGCCTTGGAGTTTTCTTGCGTGGAAGAAGAAATGGTAGTGGCACCTCGGCAAGAGCTGAAGGACTCGCCATTCTCAACGACCAAATCCTCCTGTTCTTCTTCATGTTCTTCACCAGAGTTGTCAAAGACCGGGAGCTCGTCGTCGTAATCCCTGAGGTGATGCCTCAGAGGAGCTGCGTTAGCGCGCTGGAGCTCGCTCGAGAATTTCTTGAGCTCTTCTTGATCCCTTCGCTGCATCCTCAGCGGCAGCACTTGTGGCGATCTTGGCGAAACTTTCTTGTCATTCCTCTCTTGCCAGTGGTGATTTGCAGCCTTTCCAGCCGTGATCGAAGAAGGAAGACCGTCTGGATCACCGCGCGATGGCGCCGGGATGGGACTGAAAGCCTGCTCGGCTTTCTTGGACAGGAGATCACGGAAGGTGTGGCGGCGCGCATCAAAATCCTCGAAATCCTGGAGCGGCAAGCGCGTACCTCGATCGGCGATGCTTGGCGGGAGCGCTCTCCTCCCATGGTCAGCGCCGGCGCCAGGCTTGAAAACCTTGTGGTGATCATGGAGCGGCGATGGAGAGGTCTTGTGGGCGAGCGGTACCGGCGAGCTGTGCGTCACTGGCGCTGACGATTCCGCGCAAGGCTTGCCGAAGCAGAGCCCCATCCTCTTCCAGCTCCCTGATCTTCCTTGCTTCCAATCTCTTTCCTCTCGATCGTTGCCTCGCCCTTCGTCGCGCCGCCGCCACCGCAGGGCTGGAGGAGTTCCAAGAAAAGATTCACGCACCACAATTAAGGAGTGGAGTGACTCACAATCTCGCGCGTTTGTTTTGTGCGTGGAATGCGCCGACGGGATTTCAAAGCTTCCCGCCAAATTAAAAATTACCGCCAGTCACATTATCCAATAATTAAAGAACAGAGAGAACAAGTCGAGGGCTCCTAGACGACTTATATGCTGTTTTGAAGCGAGCCTCGCGAGTTGGAATTCTGAGACGAGGTTTGAGGAAGCTGGAGATGAGAATCTGGGAATGATCTTCAACGCCTGAAAAGCAATTTGTGATCTTGTGCTTACTACTATGAGTTATGAAACAAGCGAAAACTCTCACGCTAAAAGACCAGAAATCAAGAGACTTTTACCAACATTTTGAGGAGGCCTTCGTAAAACAAACCTGGTTCTTTCAAAAACCTGGGAACTTCGTGCGGCCAGGTGGAGTAAATTTACAAAAGTGATTGGAACGAGGTACTCAAAATGGCCTACAATACAACACAGATTCGAGCAGGTAGTAAGAAATTCCCGGGAAGGAACCAAGAACTACAGAAGCCACGAGAGACTTCAAGAGACTTCTAGGGACTTAAACGCAAGAAGAAAAAAATATACTAGAGAGAGAGCGCACCTACGTCTGCTTGGCAAAGGGAGCGGCGCTTGGAACACGGCGATTCCGAAACAGCATGAAAATCAGTGGCAGGATCACACCAGTAAACATGATCACAGCTCCCAGCAAATAGCGCACTACTCCCGGTGCCTCTAGCTCAGTCTATAAGGCAACAAAAAGAGGAAATTTCTATAAGACATCCCCCAAATTCCCGGGGCTAAATCACCGAGCGCAAATGCGTGTCCCATCAAAGCTACTCACAGGCATGCCGGATGGATCGATCCGCCAGTGCGAGCTCCCGATCCAAAGAACCCTAAAACCCTGACAAAGTGAAAATTTAGGGTTCTTGAGGGCTAGAGTCAGTGACGAACGTGGTGAGAGGTTGATTGCAGCTCCCCGGAGTTTTACTAATATCCGTTGTTTGTGCAATGGTTATACTGAAACAGAAATCAAAGAGAGGTGATCTTAAGTGACACTGCATCGCGAATTCACATACTCGCGATACCAATACCACAACTCACGGCACACAAGAACGGGGTGATCTACTTTGTGGAGAACTCGGCAGCGGTGATAACGCCCAGTTGTTCAGCCTGGGTCTCACTTTTAGAGGTGTTCTACGGTGCCGACATGCCAAAAAGATGACGATGACCTCAAAATGTTGTTTATTTCGTGCTGGTACTGGAACTCTACTCGTTGGAGGCTGCATCATGGATGTGTTGATAGCAATCGGGATCGGGTCAATCTTTGGCCTGATAACGACGATCTCGATGTTGCTTGACATTTCGTTCACCTGATTGAGAACTTTGCAATACTCGTTCAATGGCAACCTGGGAATGGTCCGGTTCCATGCGGTCACTGGAATCCATACCACGAGAACGAGCTTTCTGTTGTTTCTCATGCACGCGCACCATGGATTCATTTGCGGCGCCTGCGACAGAAAAATATCCACTTTATTTTATTTTTGGCTATAGCGGATTGTCCCTTTTTTGCAAACCACATTAAATCTCTTCGAATATTCTTGTGAATGTATGCGCATTGCTTTCCAATCCTCGATTCAGAAAACGGGACATAGCATTTGTGATTGTCGGTCCGCCATTGCTGCTTTTTTTCTGAGAAATGGTACGCTTCCTATTGCCTCAATCAGCGAATTGCTTGGAAATTGCGCTGCCGGGTAGCTTCACGCAAGAGACTGGTTTGTATCCAGGAAATCCAGCAGCAGCACGAGAATTGGTGTAAACCGCTCTCTGTCCAGGTGATCACTTTGCAAAGAGTGTTGAGTTTGTAGTTGAAACTCCAATTTCTGTGCGTTCAAAGACGTCAAAGGGGTGCGAGGAGATCAGCAGCAGCAAGGCATCAAAACTTGAAAGCCGCAGCAAAGCCAAAGGATGGATCATTTCAATGATAGAGTGTCATTTTAATTACAGAATGTAAACGAAGAAAGCTTCATTTCAGAATGTTCTTAAATCATAGTGGTGATGTCTCGGCCGGGAACGCATACGGCTGGCGGGGCCAACTCGAGGCGGGGGGTATATGGCAGCATATTTGCCTTGAGCTTCCGTATGATGTCCAGTCCCACGTTGAGTGCCGTTGCAGAGGATCTGTCTGGGATCTTCAAGAGAGCACTAGCACTTGTCTACACACACAAAAAATGGGGTCAGAAAAACATAGAGAATAATGAGGAAGCTTGCAAAGTTTTTTGTATACCAGAGTTCCTGGGTTTTGGCTGTTGAGAGCCGAGATGTAAAACGCAGGCTTGGTGCCGACGTTGATCTCAAAGTGCATTGTTCCCCGTGGGAATATGGTAATATCGCCTGGGTACAAGAGGTTGATGCGTGGTACTCCTGGAAAATCACCCATATGTTCTTTATAAGATCAAACTACAAAGAGAGAATCTTATTTCCTACCGGCTGTATCCACGAATCCAACTTGAAGTGGCCCGCCAGAGACCATCGTGAGGAGCTCGGAAGCTCGAGGGTGAGTGTGTGGGAGATTGACTCCACAGGGAACCATGTTAAAGTGTACATAAGTTATCCCTTGAGACCTGGAAAAAAAAAGAAAGTAAAACTATGAATGGATCAGAATTGTGGTATCGAGCGAAGGCAAAGAGGAAGACAAATACGTGATTCCTGGGAAGAGTGTCGTGTTGATCGCTGCGCGAACGCCACCGGGTCCATTGCTCACATCGCCATTCTTGAACACATTTCGCAGCACGAAATTGCTGAGAGCTCCCGATCCCTCGAAATCTCGCAGCGGATCGGGGTCGGCAGCGCTCACAAACACGTTCGCAGCGGCAGCGCTCAGGATCATCACCGTCAGCATCAACTTCTTGGATTCCATCAAAGAAAGATTATGTCGATGATCTTGAGATCTTGAAGAGCAAAAGAGAAACAGAAAGAGAAAATGAGAGGGAGAAATGGAAGAGATATGATAAATGTGCCCGAGAGTGCGGTTTATATACTGTGGCAAGTCTTCAAAGTCTGCATTAAAATCTCCAAAACACGCGTTGTCTGTATTGGTTACGTTTCTAGATTCATTACAAGTAACTTCGATTTTTTTTTTTTACTTGACCAGGCACGTTCGGCTAGTCAATAAAAACAGCCAAGACGTAGATTTTACGAATGCATACATCTCACAGGTGTCTGACACACTAACCATTTCTATTGTTTTAACTTCTGCGTTTTTGCTTGCTCCTAACACAATCTTTTATGACATCTTCCTCCACGTATCAACACCTGGGAGATCAGGGAAATAATTTATCATCTTTTTTGTTCACTCGATGTTCTGCGTCTGAATTCAAAACAAAGATACGCACTAAGTGGACTTACCAAACAAATCCAAGACCGCTTCAAAATGCAGCCACCATCGAATCGTCACTCACACATTCCTTGAGTTGTGAATGGCGTAGTTTGAGGGGCTTGGCAAATGAAGCTGCATTCCTTAGTACTCCAAAAGGACTTTTTTTGTATAGCTGCAAAGAAGTTGGTATAACCAACAAGGTTGCCGTGGAGGCATAGTGGAGGCATATTGCCCATTCATCAAGGGTTAGAGAGGTCAAGGTTTTCTTTTTTTTTAGGTGAGTCCGGAAATTATGTCTGACTTGATCTTTTATCTGACGTGGATAAATCCAATTGTATCAGAGTATAAAAAGATTATAAACAACTTTTGACTTCCTATGAGTTAATTGGATTTCAGCTAAATTGCCAAGCAATCAATATGAAGGTGCTAAAGGCCAGTTCATGCATAGTTCCATTCATCATGGTTGTCATTGCATCCTTGATCTACCCATGCATAAAGCTCCTGACGACTTTGGGTTTATGATAGAAATGCTCTGGGCTGCTGGTCCCGCTGGGTGGCAGAGTGGCTGCTCTCATTGTTCAATCAGGTTTTGGTAGCAGGCTTTCCTTGGTTGTGAACACATTCCGTGCTATAAAGCAGGAGACCCTACAAATGTTTCGAACTATAAAATATTGGCTGTTGCGAGCATTTTGCCGAAATTTTTGCCCACCTTGTGGAAAAACAATTGGCAGATTGGATGGACAAGAAGGACTTGAACGCACAATCAGGAGGCACTATTTTTGTATTGACCAGCTGCTTGTATTGCATGTGCTGCTTGAGAGACTTTGACACAAAAGGAACTGCACACTCTTTCTTTCCGCCGTTTGCTCATTCAGCGCCTCTTGGAAATACAAGTGCCCACACCGCTTGTAGCGGATATCATTGAGATTTATCAGACCGTTCAGCTACAAATTGTTGGTGCTCCCACGTACAATCGCATACAGGCATGCGCCAAGGATGTCCGCTACCAATTCTCTTTGCCATTTACGTTGACGTGCTGGAATCGATATTAAAAGGGCTACTGTACTCAGATCACCTCTTGTTGATAGCATTGACTGCAGCAAACTCTCGACATTCCCAGTGAGTTTTTTCTCTCACAAGCATGGAGGTAAATCTCAGTAAGATGCAGTTTATGATCTTTGGTCACCCCACTGAGAAAGCTTGTTTCTATCAAGGCACTTGCTACAAAGTCAACAAGTATAAACACTCAAGATAAATGGGAGACATTACATTGGCACTAAAAAGTAGGAGTTTAACAATTCAAGTGGACAATTAAACTATTAAAACATAATCAATGAAGAATGTATTGCATAAAAATTGCATTATAACTTCCGATAACAATATAAACCAATATGTGCTAAAGAGTAAAATTGAATATCTAAGTGTTCTTGTTTTTGACACCATCCTAAAAACGTAAAGGGCATTGAGGGGATAACAAAAGAAAAATCAAGAAATACAAATGAAACTTGCAAAAGATCATTATAAACAATTAATGTTTAAACAACAAAAGATGATTAACATTTGAGTTTCAAGTCATAGAGGATATGGGAATGTTTGAGCAGTAGTTTGTAGGACTTGAAGGAGCAATTTAGTGTGGATAGAAAGATAATGTAATTTTTCTATTGATACAAATTTAAAATATAATCCATTAGACTCTTCTTAAATTTAGATTTAAAAATACTTTTAGCAACATTGCCCTATTGAGTATCATATTTTACATTGACATAGTCTCTATGATACTACTGATCTAAAAACTTGTCACTACTAGTTATGATCATATTGTGCATAATAACACAAACTATGATGCAATTAAATTGTGTGTAAGGATAAGCTTCTTATTTAAATATCTTCACTATATTTTTTGTTGACTATACATCCACTCAACTACAATTCTAATAGAAGAGTGCAAAATATTATAGTTGAAATAATCATCTTTAATAAACTTTGTTGGAAATAAGGTGAAAATTCCCATAGCAACATCATCTTCACCACCTGTTATCAAGTATTTCCAAGGTTAGTGTAGTAAATAAAACCACATGTGTTTTGAAGTTGCTTATGGACTAAATCATTTGTAGATTTACAATATCCAGCTCTTAAGTCTAGAGAAAAAGTTTAATTATCAATAATAACTTACACTTCTATGTTGAATCACTGTTTATAATCCACCCACTCCTAAAAACTCAATTTAAATGTGTGTGCAATCAATAGCTTTAACGCAATTTGGAAATCTATGTAACTTCTAAAAACCATCCTTCACTATTTAAAATTCTTCCCCTTCTAACCACTTGGATATATATGCTCCTATATTTTTTCACAAGAGCTCTCATAATAAACTTCTTTAAAATCTTCTTTCTTGCCTAAAAGTCTCTCAAGCTTCTCAACTTAATGTTGGACCTCAGTGCGAACTTCTATCAGGGGCCGAAGTTCAAAGGTTTCGATCACAAAGTTCAGCTCCTGGACATCGTTTAACAGGTTTACCAGAGATTGGAGCAGATCTCTCCAATAATTCACTCCAGAATGGTCTGCCACGAAGCCCCGCTCCAGTGCTTCGGGAAGAGAGGAAGAAAAAAACAAAAATACTATGCTTCTTGGTATTAAGATTTACGGGTCAGCTTTGGCGACTTAGGCCACGATTAAATTGGCCGGCCATAGAAACTAAACCTGAAGAGCCACACAGGTATCCGGGGGTAATGTTTCACTGGCTGGAAGATCAAACTTCCTCACGTTGATTGTCTCGTCCGCTTCTTTAAGCTTGGTTTCGTTTCCATGAGCTAAACAAAAGAGAAAAGAACAGAGATCTAGAGCGGAGGAAAACTTGTATTTTGCAACGCGCTGAGATTGGTAGGGTGGACTGGATTTGATTTGTGAGAGCCAATCTAGCTTTGGGGCCGGAACCAGTGATAGTCTCTGGGCGCTTGTAGCTGGAACCTGTATCTCAAAATTATTTCTCCTTGATTTTCTCATCTTAGCTTCTTGTAGGAATATTGTTAAGCTTGAGTCCCAGGGTTTTTTTTAATCTCTTGCTTTGCTAATGTAGAAGAATCAAATCAGGCGTGAAGCCTTGCTCTTGCTGGAGAGCAGTGTTTGAGAAATTCTTTTCCATGGTATCCGAATTTGTCTATAGCAGGGGATGTAACCCGAGCCAGTCTGCCGGGGCTGGTTGCTACAGGAGGGATCACGGAAGATCATGTGTGATCAACTTACAAGTTAATTTGGAGAGGGCCGCGCGTACGCGAGCCCTCAACTTCCACAAATTACGACGTGTGCCCTCATTCAACGCCTCGGCATGTGGGATAGGAAAGAATTGCCCTAGCCACGTGTCACTATCACGAATGGCTCGGCTATCTCATACACCCGTCAAGTAGCAGCTTCCACGCGGCGTGCCTGCTGCCAGATCCTCGGCGTTGCCCAGCTCCAATCGGTCAGCAGTGCGATCAGTCAATCGGTCAGCTCCAATCGCGCAGTAGTGCTCCACGCTCGGCCGGACGATCCCCACAGCGTCGTCCACGCACCGGAGCCGAGAATCCGCGCTACAAACCACCGAGAGGACCACTTGCCACTTGGTGGGGCATCTGCTGGCCCCAAGCAGTTCTCCGTGTTGAAATCTCCAGCGCCTGCCCCGTGCGGTTGTTGATGGGTGCACGCCCCCATGATTGACGCCCAGGTGACGGTGCTCCTCACCAACATCACGTCAAACAGCTCCTTTGCCCGAATCAGATGCCCGGGCATGGAATCGAACAGTTCCTTCGCTGCAGCCACATTCCCTACGCGAGCGAATACTGCTAGCACCGCGTTGGCGGCGATGGAATCCGAGGCTGGACGCTCTGGAGCATCTCACTGTCCTCGTCGACCAGGCCGTTGCTCGCGTACGCCCCAGGGCCTTTTGTGCGGCATCCACTTGCTCGCTTCTGCCACCTTGCACTGTCGCGAGCGTACGCCGCCATCATCTGGATCCAAGGGAGAGATGAAGAAACGTCCCTGACCTCCTCCCAATGCCCGTTGTTCACACGTAGGCCTCGAAGATCGCCTGGTATGCCTAACGCGTCCGGGCCTCCTCCACACCACCTCGCTTTCCAAATGCCTGGATCGTCACGCTCTTGAGCTCGCGGTTGTCTCGGGTGTGGTTGTCCTCACCTCAAGCAGGTTCTCGGCCTCCAGGAGCCTGGTCGTGCGGCCTCCGGATTTCCATACGGTCTGTAGATCCTCGGCAGCCGAATTGCTGTGTGTTTGTTCCGCCTCTCCTCGGTGAAGGGCTTTCCCATTTTCTTCCGGAAGATGCCCATAGCTCAAGAAACTTTCGGAGCCGCAAACTCTGTCGATCATGGACATGGCTAAAAGATTTTCATCTCTCGCAAACATGACGAGCAAAAGGAAAACAATGCAACACTGTGCCTTCGCCGGCCGTGGGGCTCGAAGCCAGGACCGTGAGGTTAAGAGCCTTGTGGTCGACGAATTTCCAAGAAATGGTGCAGCTACATCGCAGAGTGGGAACCTGGAAGAAGAGAGGTGTGCGTTCGAGAGTAAGCCCGAGCACAACACAGTCTCCTACACAACGATTCTCCCGGCATATGTCCACAACAGGCATCTTGAAGCGGCAGCCCGGATCTTTGCACTGATGCCTCGCTGCGGCATTTCTTCTTGGAACGCAATGCTAACAGCATTTTTCCATGCTCTGAATCTTTCCAAGGCGGAAGAACTCTTTTCTCAGATGCCCGAGCGAGATCTCGCGTCGTGGACGTCGCTTCTCTGGGCATATGCCCAGACGGGCACCTGGACATTTGATTCGATGCCTCAGCCCAATTTGATCTCGCATGCGTACAGAGCTCCAAAATTTTGGAATTCCTGGGAATTGAGCCATTTGCTGCTTTGCGCTCGAAGTGGAGAAGTGGAGAGAGCGAGGTCCTGCTTCGTTTCGATGGTGATGAATTACGAGCTGGAAGCTGGAATGGAGAACTACAGCTGCAAGGTGGACGCTCTCAGCAGAGTTGGATGCTTGGATCAAGCCCGAGACTGGATTGCGAGCATGCCGTTTACTTCTATGGACAATCTCTCCCCTGAGAAATTCCTCTCTTCTCGACCCCTTTATATACTCGAAACGATGGCGCAATGGCATGTCGGGATCAAAGAATCATAATAGAATCATAGCTAGAGCCACGAAAATTCTTAAGACACATGTCGATGTCCGGTAGAGCAAACTTCATCGAAACTTGGCCTCGTTTCCATGAGCTAAAAAGAGCGAAGGAAAGCTTGGGGGAAAAAATTTGCCGTGATGTATTTTGCAACATGCTGGAGGACGAAGTCCATGAAGTGCTCGAGAGCCAGTGAAGAGCGAAGTAGATTCTTTCCAGCGATGTAAAGGCCCTGAGAAACACAATTATAGAAGGAATGTAACGCTCACAGCTCTCGAAGCGCATGAGTATGATCCCATGAAACTGTATATCTGAAGAAGCTGGTGCTTTTTCAAGTGGATGGACTCTCTAAGCTGTATCTTATAGGCTTCCAATTCTGCCATCAGGTAATCCTGTGTGAAATCCTTCTAGGCATGAACGTACGTCTGAAAAGCACCAGCTTCTTCAGATTTACAATTTCTTGGGATCATACTCATGCTCTTCGAGAGCTGTGAGCTCCTTGGAGTTTTCAGAGGCAGCTCCTTGAACTTCTTCTCCACAGTCTTGAAACGGTGAATCGGCATCAAGCCAGAATACCTGTCCGGGATCGCCAACGACACACAGGTTCTTCTCTCTCTCGGTGTGGAACGAGCCGCTAATCCAGGGGCTTGGAGGTTTAATCTCTCGGGAGTTCTTCTACGGCCTTCCGATGACAGAGAATATATAGTTCGAATCTGGATGTGAAAGCACTCCTTTTCCTTACATTGGGTAGGAAAACTGCAAATAGCCAAACAATACCTTTGTTAATGGTTTCATGGTGTAGTTGGTCATCACGTCAGTCTTACACACTGAAGGTCTCCAGTTCAAACCTGGATGAAGCCACATTTTTCTTGGCTTCATTTTACTTGTTGGTTAGGAACAATAAAGCATGCCCAGGAAAGGCATTTGGCGGCAACACACACGAGTTCAAGCCAATTTCTTTGCCTTAATTATACTTACACTGCACTGAAGATCTCCAGTGTACCTCGAGGTTGGTTTGTCGTCTAAAAGGTCTAGATCTTCGAGCACTGGCCAAAGCTGGCCGAGAGGATTCCAGCTGGAGCGTGCTAAACAAACACGAGAATGCTCCAGTCGAGAATGGAGCGGTGTATTACTTGAGGAGATTGGAGAACCAGGAAGAGCGGAAAGGATACTCCCATCCATCTCCAATTCTTGTTTGGAGCTCAAGATCACCTCTTTAAAAGAGTTGGTGGCGAAGTCTTTCGATCAAACTTCGAAGCAAACCAAAACTAAAGATCGTCACAGCTTAGTGTATTTCGATACGGTGTCGTTCCCTCTCCTGGATGATAGCGAGAACGCCACTATGGTTGCTTGAACTACGACTCCGTGGACGCTCCCAACACTATGTGTGAATGCAAACTAACTACGTCAGAGTAAGCTCAGACTATATGTGTTAATTGACTTGTTATAGATTCTCCGTGTCTCTCTTTTTCCAGGTGAGACCTCGGCTGTCTACATAGTGCTACTTTCTTTTCTGAAAGTTAAAGCGGCGATTATGAGACTTTGAGCAGCACAAGATCTGGAAAAAGGTACAAGCCTTTGTTTGGAGCTGTGAAATACTGCATTCCTTGTGGTTGCAAGCACACAAGTGTGGTTGCTCCTGCTTTTGGAGAGGACGATTATTGTTTCTACATGGAGGCTGGCATTACAGCCAAGGTCTACTGCTTCGATTTATTTCCTGGCTTTCTTCTCACGTTTTTACGTTTTCAAGGGGAGATGAGATCCCGCTGAGAAATGAGACATTAGCACCAAGTAAAGTTTGCAGTTATTTGGAGAATCTGGAAGTACTCCATCCACAAAATCATGTCCTCCGTTTAAATAGCAAATGACTAGGTGGAAGTTGGTAAGTTGCTATCACAAAACTCTTTCAGTCTGGGACACAGTTCTCGAAATTTTTCTATATCGTGGCAGGGCTCGAACCGTGCCAAGGCGCTACGTGGCGAGCAATCGTTTCGATCTTTCCACGCTGTACACGCGAATCTCTCGAAGATATTTTGCGCGATATTTGCCTGGGCTGGGAGATATTTGCCGCCGAAGCAACCACAGCCTGCCACGTCGCCGCGAGTGGATCACATCACCCAAGTTTCTTTGACGCCCCCATTTGTGGCCAATATTTGTTTCTTAGGGTTCCTCCGGGAGGCGCTGCTGGGGAAATGCCAGTGGGCATCGAGTTGATGGTCTCGTAGATTCCAGCTCCGCGATGCGTTCTTGCTGAATTATGTCATCCCCTCAGCAGAAATGGCTGACCGGCCTGAAATCTACATCGCTGTTCCGGGCGCCTCCGCTAGATCTCCACGAAAGACAGGTATTGCAGTTTCCTTTGCTTTTGGGAATAGAATTTCACTCCAGTTTCTGTGCTGCACAGACCAAGACTGTCGCTTACGTTGAGCTCTTCGGCCAGTTTGCTTCGGACAGCTTTCCTGAAGATATTGCGGAGGTTTTTTCTTCCTCCTCCTCAAATTTGCACTGATTTTTCTTGCTTCTTCCTTAGCTTGTTCGTGATCACTATCCACACAAGGAACCTTGCCTTTTAGACGACGTGCTAGGTACTACCCATTTTTCGTTTGATTCGTGTTTTCCTGGAGTCTGATCGTTTGGATTGTTCCTGCAGCTACTTTCGTCCTCCATCATCCAGAACACGGTCACACGATCCTGCATCCTCTCCTGTCCTGCGTGATCGATGGAACCTTAGCTTACAGCAAAACTACTCCTCCCTTTGGATCTTTTGTTTCAGTCTTTGGTGTTTCTAGCGAGGTAATAGTCACATATTACATATCTTGGCTGATCGCTGTAAACGTTTACTTCATTTTTGCAGAGAGATTTGACAGAGCAATGGGCTCTTGCTTGTGGAGAGATCTTGCGCCTCTTGACACACTATAACCGACCGATTTACAAGTCTGAAAGTTCTGCTGATGGAGAGAAAAGAAGCTCTTCTGACAGTGGGGACCCGGCGGACAGAGACGGAAGTGGAAGTCCAGACAACGGAAGGCGAGCACCAAAGCGGCTCTTGACGCCTTGGATCACAGACAGCCTTCTCGCTGCGCCATTAGGCACAAAGAGCGACTACTTTCGCTGGTAAGTAGCAGTGAAGCATTTCTTTTTGTCCTAAATGACTATTTCTTGCCAGGTGTGGTGGAGTTTTGGGAAAATATGCTGGCGGCGGAGATCTTAGGCCACCGACAACTGGTGAGTGACGAATTCATTTTGTCTTGCTTGAAATAGTTGCGTTTGTGATCAGCTGTTAGCGGCAAAGGTCATGGAAAGCATCCGCAGCTACTGTCCTCGACTCCTCGGTGGGCTGTTGCAAATGGAGCCGCAGTTATTTCCAGTGTGTGCGATGACGAAGTTTTACGTTACGAGACAGCGGATTTAACAGCTGCTGCAGTTCCAGCGTTGCTTCTTCCACCTCCAAGCACTAGCCTGGACGAGCATTTAGTCGCAGGATTACCACCTCTGGAACCATTTGCACGCTTGTTTCACCGGTAAGCCAAGAGCTTGTTGGTTGTAAGTTAAAGCTTGTATGTCTGACCACCACCACGTAGATACTATGCTATTGCGACTCCTGGAGCTACTCAGCGTTTACTTCTTGGGCTTCTCGAGGCCCCTGCCTCATGGGCCCCGGATGCGTTAGACGCTGCTGTTCAGCTGGTTGAGTTACTTCGTGCCGCAGAAGATTACAGCAGCTCGTCCTTCAGAGTACGTGATCTTCTCCTTGTCATTATCCCAGCGCGTGCTGATGTTTTCTTGTTTGCAGCTGCCTGAGAATTGGTTCCGTCTTCATTTTCTCAGGCCGATGGGTGCAGCGATGACGATGAAGCAGGGGATTGCATCTGATGCTGCAGCTGCCTTACTTTTCCGTTTGTTCTCGCAGCCCGCGCTGCTCTTCCCTCCCAGAGGACATGCGCAAGGCGCTCAGGTCGTGCAGCCTCTATATGGACCTCCGATACGTTTGGATGGTAGTGAGGAGGTACCGAAAACTTGCATCGCTTTTGTTCAGGCATTGACGTATCATTTCATGCACAGATGGAGGCACTGGCAACCCAGGTGAATGAGGAAGCTACTGCAAAGGGGGTGGCATCTTTAATGCGGGACCATGGCCGCGACGTGGAATGGCGGATATGTGTGCTCTGGGAAGCAGCCTATGGACTCATTCCACTTGACAAGTCCGTCGTCGACCTTCCAGAGATGGTGATAGCAACGCCTTTGCAGCCACCGCTGCTATCCTGGACGTTGTTCAGGCCCTTCTTGCGTGTTCTGGAGCACGTACCAAAAGGCTGCCAGTCTCAAACTTGCTTGCGAAGGATATTTTCGGCGACAGTGGATGCTATCCTGCGAAGAACGTTCCCGCTTGACGACTGGAAAGAACAGAAGAACGGGAACTTCAGAAGTGCGTCGGGCTCAGGGGTTGATCCTGCCGGCATGGCGGAGCTACGTGCCTTGGTTCACTGCCTGTTTACGGAGGCGTTCCTTGGTCCGGCTCTTGCGTCGCAGCTACTGTCGGACGCTCTCACAGTCTGCCTCAGCCATGACACTCTACGCCAGGGGAATGGAAGTGACAGTAGCAAGAAGAGGAGCACTCACAGCTCAAACAAGGACAGAGGAGCTGTTGCAAGCTTCGACTCGTATCTCATTGCGGCGGTCTGCGCACTGGCGTGTGAAGTTCAGCTATGCACTTTCTCAGCAGCCGATGGTACTGCTTTCAACGGGGTGACGAACTCGGCGTACCAAGCGCGAAGACTGATGTCGGTTCTCGAAGGCCTCTTGGTGGTCGAGCCTTTCTCTCCGGGAGTTGGACCGAACACCAACAGTCCCAACGATCTCGTCGAGGCGGCCATCGTAGCTGCGCACATATCCAGGCTTCTCGGGAGATCACGGGCTTGCACGCACGCACTGACTGCCATTGTGCGGTGCAAATGGGATCCCGGAGTGAGCTCCAAGGCGGCATCGATCCTTGCGTTGGTCGATG